TCGGGATAATCAAATTCTGATTACCTTCCTCCAAAATCTACTGACTGTGCAGATTAAAGAGGAGTTTGTTCCATTCTGTGTTTGAGCAGTGTTATCAGTTCTGTTATCATCAAGATGTGAAATATTAGGTTGGTAGGTCAACATTTTGACTCCTGCATACAAGCTCCTAACAATTCCCTCAGAAGTTCTTCTTTATCTGGTTACTGTTTTCCCTACTGAACAGTTTCTGACTTTTGTAATTGCATTTTTTAAATCTGTTATAGTTTACTCTGTACAACTCTTGGTAAGAAGAAGGGAGAGTCAGAGAGAGGGGGGAGTAAATTGAAGGAGAGAACTGTTAGGAGGGAGAAAAAAGCTGAGATTAATGGAACATAAGAGCAACAAATAGAGAGGGGCTGTATGGTGAAAGATACAGATGAGAAGAGAAGTGGTGTTGTTCAGGAGACAGCTCTGAAAAAGCCTCGCCATTACTGGAAAATGTGAGAGCCAAAATAAAGACAGCTTTAGTCCAAGATTCTTTATGACATTTAGAGTTAAAAGTATTTGAAGGACAAACATATCATTGAATCTTCAATTATAGAGAAGATAGACCAGAAGATACATACAGAGCGAATCTCAGACCTCCACCCTCTAACTAAAGTGACAAAATACTTGTTTTTAGTATTTAATTTCACTAAAGTGACACCAGCGCTAACACACCAAGGAAGGAATTCTTTTCACCAGCTGGTACTGACGTGACAAACAGAACCTCAGTACATGAGGACTAACCACATTTTGAGAAACCTGTCACATATTGGATACAAAACACAGAGGAGTACACAAAGACACAAAACACAGAGTAAATTATGTTTAGAAAGCAATCAAAGGAGATGAAAAAGCCCTGTGTACACACTGCACACAGTCACATGGAAACACAACTACATCGAACCGCATTCTGTCTGAAATACCAACGCATGAAAGAGATTTTTTTGAAACACGTGTAAGCTCAATGTGTGAAGTTCTTGTTCACGAAGCACATACGTTCAGTACATCAGGTTATGACACATTGAGAGATAGGGAGAGCTGACATTTCCTTTTATTTATGCTCAGGGCTCATCGTTTGATTTATATGACAACATGACATTTCAGAGTTAATCTCTTATTTATGGCACGTTTGCCATTTCCATTTGTTGTTTCTTCATAAACACTGGACAGTTGTTCCTGCCTGGACCACTAACAGTTACTGCATGGTGGAGCTGAATAGGTGGAGGTTCACATCTGCACACACTCCCACACATACACACACACTTAGACACTCATATGGACAGCTGAAAAGTGATTTCACATACAAGTGTCACGATGAGTTGTCTTTCTATTTTTACTCCAGTATAGTACAAGGTGGATTGGAAAAAGGGGATGGGATTGGAGAGGAAAGTGGGAAGAGGAAGGTTGTGTGACTCTGTGTGTGTGTGTG